GTTCGTCAGGCTTAAGAATACAACAGGAAAATATTCCCTTCATTCATGTGTAAGTTCGGGGGGGAGGGGGGAGCGATAAAAATAAATACATTTCAGTAAACATCGTCAGACTTCATAATCTCGGATGTTGCACGTGTAACCTGTGAATGTCCAGATAATATCAAGGTGATTTTCTGACAGTTTTAGATACAACTTCACGATTATACCATAGTTAGTTGTAGGTAAATAGGCACTTGCCCCCTCTCACCTCATAATTCCTCCGCACACTGCCTTTATTATTGTATTGCCTGAAGAAATACAAGTGTGCCCCTTTACAATATTCCTCTAATGATAATTAGAGTCAGAATTAGAACATATATATATATGTAACTTAAACCCTTTCGATTCCTACTTGTGTAATCTGTTTCCCAAGTATTGTTGGTGAATTCTTACCGATAACTGTAAGATATTTCCATTAAACTAAGAGTAAACTCGTAATAACAGCACGAAAAAAAAAACACTCAATTACACTAGTTCGTGTATTTAAATAATACTGAATTTATGTTACCTTGTTTAAATTTTAAGTACATATGTGTCAATGAAAGTAAAACAAAACGGTTAAACTTCGTATTTTTCATGAAATCTAAAATACAAAACGTTTGCATCATTTAACCAATAAATAATGTTTGATCTATATCAATTGAAAAGCAAAGGGAAGTTTAAGTAATTACTATTTCCCCATTAGCAAATTGGATCCTCCGTTGATTGATATCCCTGAAATTTAACATATCAATCGTATCAAAGGAATATACATACATTTCCCTAATCTCTTTCGTTATCTACTTTTGATCATTCAAAATGGCGCCTCACGAATAAACATGGGCGACTGTTTCTGCTACCATCTTGCGTGAAAGTGAGAATACATATTTGTTGCTAAATAATCATAATTGGCCCGGCATGGCTAGGTGGTTAGGGCACTCGACTCGCAATCTGTGGGTCGCGGGTTCGAATCCCCGTGAACCCAAAGATGCTCGCCCTTTCAGCCGTGGGGGCGTTCTAACGTGACGGTCAATCCCACTATTCGTTGGTAAAAGAGTAGCCCAAAAGTTGGCGGTGGGTGGTGATGACTAGTTGCCTTTCACTGCTAAATTAGGGACGGCTAGCGCAGATAGCCCTCGTGTAGCTTTGCGCGAAATCCATAACAAACAAACAGTAATCATAGATCCCGTAGCGGGACTAGCGATAAAGTTCATTATTGCATCTAGAAACATGTATAACCGTAATACAAGTAAATTATTGGCCTTTACTTTTAACCAACTGTCGGTATGTTTGTTAATATTAACGGATTCGATGCTCTTTTAACCATATTTTCTCTTAAATATTTTTATTTAATGTTTTGTCTTCTGTTAAGCAACAAAGAATCTTGTTTTCGAGGCTATCAACAACAGGTATTGAATTTTTAATACCGGTGAACAACCTCTACAAGTTGAAGGTCAGGTTTGTAAGGATGGAATGTTTTAAGCTCATCAAAAAAAAAAGAAGAAAAATGGAGAGCAACGACCTCTTCGCAAATAAAAAAATAAATAAAAATATTTTCTTTTTCTTTTTTTTGTAGCAAGATAATATAAGTAATTACTAATCAACCTAAAACTAGTAGGTTGTGACATAAAGTTTGGAATATCAGCAATTACGTCTGCAAGTTTCATTTCGTCTTCGAAACTCGGCGGAACACAACCACTGCCTTCAGCGCTGATTTTGACTTGAAAATAATTTATAATAAGAATTGTACTTCTGGCAACAACCCCAGAGGCCACTTCCTGGTTTTAATCATTTCTCAGCTAAAATTTTTTTCACCAGTTACAGTCACGTCTAAGTAGACTTGTAACGATCAAGTCACCGGTTGGTAGAAACCACAATCTTCGTGTACGCGTAAGTATTACCATTCAGGCATTTTGTATAGCCCTAATGTGTTAAGATATTTTTTTATCATTTCACTCATTTATAACGACTGTGCATTTATTATGAATTTTTTCTTTTTTTTTTAGTGCAAACTGCACAATGAGCTATTAGCGCTCTGCTTACCGCTGGTATGGAAACCTGATTTTTAGCGTTATAAGTCCTCAGACTTCGCGTTGAGCCAGCGAGAGGGTGTTTTTGATGAAGCAAACTATGTTACTCAAAGTTTTTTGAGGTGATATATAACAGACTATCAGTATAAGTTTAAAATTAATAGCACAATATTACTTTTTAACTTTTAATACCTATTATTTATCATTATTATTATTATTATTACTTAAATTAAATTTCATGCCAGAAAACTGGTTTGTCAGTTCTTTTTCCCGGAGCGGGTCAAACAATCCCAGCCTACATAAAGAAGGCCTAAGACATTGGATTCCAACAACTTTACTGAATCAAGCACAGAGGATGATGGTGTAAGTAGTTACAAGGAAGCATGGCCAAATGGTTAGGGCACTCGACTCGCAATCCGAGGGTCGCAGGTTTGAATCCCCGTCCCATGACACATGCTCACCCTTTCATCCGTGGGGCGTTATAATGTGACGGTTAATCCCACTATTCGTTGGTAAAAAGAGTAGCCCAAGAGTTGGCGGTGGGTGGTAATGACTAGATGCCTTCCTTCTAGTCTTATACTGCTAAATTAGAAACGGCTAACTCAGATAACTCTCGTGGCTTTGCGCGAAATTCAAAACAAACCAAACAAAAAAAATACAAGGAAGCACATAGGTCTTAAAAAGTAAAGTTAACCTTATCAGAGAAGAAATACTAGTTACAAATAGTTAAAAACTAAAAGTAGCAAAACACCCTGTCTCCCGCAGGGACAGCGGTAAGTTTGCGGGCTTACAACGCTAAAATCCGATATCCCAAGAAAGAAACAAACAAAAGCAAAACATTCCAATAATACTTAATATGCTACAGGGTTATGTACGTGGTATTTAAAACAAATTTGAATACGCAAATCACGTGACAACCACATCCGATATAAAATCGTGTGAAACGGCATGTATAAGAACTTTTTGATATTGTTTGATTGAAATTGTGTAGATAGTGTGATGTCTGCCCCCAGTGGCACAACGATATGTCTACGGACTTATAACGCTAGAAACCGGGTTTTGATACCCGTGTTGGGCAGAGCACAGATAGCCAGTTGTGTAGCTTTTTGCTTAACTTCAAACAAACAAAGAAGTGTAATGCCGCCAGATCGGGGATTTATAATTTCCGAGTTCTAGAGCATCATAACTGTCATTCTACGTCGAAATTGCTAAGTCGTAAATGCCAATACCTTGGTTGGCAAACTCACAGTTCAGTATTATATCCCACAGTATAACTCCTGAATGATTTCTTTAAATTTTTAAAATGTGTATGCTCGGTGGTTGCTGGTATTACGCAACGTATATAACACATTCCGAACTGTATCGCCCCCCAAGTGGCACAGTGCGGTATATCTGCGGACTTACAACGCTAGAAACCAGGTTTCGATACCCGTGGTGGGCAGAGCACAGATAGCCCTTGTGTAGCTTTGTGCATAATTAAAAACAAACAAACAAACCGAACTGTATAATATCTTTCTGGTGCAACTGTTTCGTTTTTGGTTGTTGAAGTTTTTCACGTTTCAAAGTTCATCAATCGTCATTAATCTTATTTTTGTTGATGCCGTGATTCATGATAGTATGCCCTTTGAACTTAAAAAGTGGAATAAAAACCATATCAGCAGTGTAGTTTTCGTTCGATTCTTCTATCTCAAATGAAAATACGGAGAAGGTATGTTTGTTTTTGAACTTCACGCAAAGCTACTCGAGGGCTAACTGCGCTAGTCTTCCCTAATTTAGGAGTGAGAGACAGAGGGAAGGCAGCTAGTCAATAACACCCACCGCCAATTCTTAAGCTACTCTTTTAAATGAGATTGACCATCACATTATAATGCCCCCATAGCTGAAACGGCAAGAATGTTCGGTGACGAAGATTCGAACCCAAAACCCTCAGATTGGAAATCGAACGCACTAACCACCAGACTTACGGAAAACGAGCTTGGATGCGTACTCTTTTTTTTTTTTTTATGGGGGCGCCATCAGCAGATGATATGCCCCCAATTTTCACTGATAAACACCTTAGTCACGGCTGAAAAGGCGAGCATGTTTAGTGTGACGGGCATTTGAACCTGCGCCCTCAGATCGCGAGTCGAGCGCCCTGACCACCTGGCCATGGCGGGCCATATGATGCGTACTTTTGAGGCAGATAGCAAATATTATAGTATGATCATATTGCCATCTATTGCCACTTTAAAGAGTTACAATTTTGAGCTTGATAAGAGAGTGACAGGAAACCTTCTCATTGCCATTTGAAAGCTAAGATTCGTGAGTTTATTCTCTGCTTTATAGTAGCGACATAAACACAGAAAAAGATAGATACTTTTCACCTGAAAGTTAAATAAATTGATATCCGTTTTGAGTGACAATGCTCTGGTGTTTGTTGGTTTATTTCTTCTAAACTACTCAAGAATTAATAAAATAAACAACGTAAAATATTGTCAGTTATTTATTCTTCTGATAAGCCATTTTGTGTGTAATTATAATGAATCTACATTTTGAATCTACACTCTCTTGATAATTCTCATTGTGTTAAATGAACATTAGTTGTAAAATGTTCTCCGCTTTGATTCCTTTTTTTTTTTCTGGAAATGTTTAAAACATTTGGTTATGAAGTTTACGTGATTAAAGACTGTTGATGTGATATTTATACTACGAATGAGAACTTAGTCTTTGATATTCATATATAGATAGATATTAGAAATACATTCGATATAATTTTTAAAATATATATATAACGAAAAGACGACTGTGGTAGTCCATGTAATATTTTTCAATTTTCTCAGAAGTTCTATAAGTTATCTCCAATATGACAAAAATGGCAAACATAATTGTTTTTAGATGCAAATCCGTACAATCCAAACTATTTAATAAGTTCTTTAATTCTATAGAAATCGATTTACTAAAACAGGATCGTTGAAAATGGCCAAAAATACTACTGATGATCACCGAAAACTCGTGTTTCTGTTTGTGTTGTTTGTTCAGGTAAAGCTTTGTGTTGCTATCGTTCTCTACTTCAATCAGAGCATATTGTTTAGAAGTTTCCAACTAACCTTAATATTATAATTAAAACAAATTGGAATTTAAATAATCACGCAGAAGTAATAAATATTTATATACTTGTAGGTTAATCTTTGTTCATCAGGTCACTCTGGAAATTAATCCATTCAAGTTAATATATATTTCCAATTTAAGTTGTCACTCAATGGATCAGGGATAAGTTTACTGACTTACAACGTTACAACTTGAGGTTCATTTCCTCCTGGTGATCAGGGAACCTTATTGTGTAATTTTTTTGCTAAAACAAACTGATTTAAGTTAATGTAAACAATGATATATCCTTCATAAAAACGCAAACTAACTTTGTTTTTAAGTTTTCAAATTACAAATTTAAATAAATTAAACTAAAAATTTGTATTCAATAGTACTTCTGTATCGAAACGTTGATTTAATTTTAACTGAACAGAGTTATGTCAAACAAAGTTTATAACACCCCTAAACTGCAACGTTGGGTTTAATTTTAATTTTTAATCTGACTTTTTACTTTTTTATTCCAGGTGACAACTGTCTTGAGTCAAGCAAAACCGATCTACATCATCGCTCATATGGTAAACACCATTTCAGACATCAATAAGTATCTGGACAAAGGAGCTAATGGGATTGAAACAGACGTCACGTTTCTCCAAAACGGAACAGCACGCTGGGCCCGTCATGGATTTCCTTGTGATTGTTTCAGAACCTGTGATAAATTCCAGGATATCATAGAGCATTTACAATATATTCATGAGATCACAACCTCAGGTAACGCCAGATTTCATACATTGTACATAGTTAAATATAGAGATGCTTCCGAGGATAAAAGAATGGTAATATTCTTGACATTCCCCGTGAAGTTCCACACCTGAAACATCGTTTTGAGCGACTACTGACATAGTTTTTATTTCACATCAACATACGTAAGTATGTACAAAAACTCTTTCGCCCAAACCTCATGCATTTCTAAGATATGCTGATAAAGTTTCCTAAGCCTTTCAAAATGAACTCCTTACAGGCTTATCGCACCAACTGATCTCAGCCTTAAAAGTATTCAAAACTGGATAGCATGATATAAATGTAACAAAAGTAAAAAAAAACAACAAAAAAACTTGCGTCTGTGAAGCAGAAAACTGTGCAGAATTTGCAACCAAAAATGTTAGCTATTTTATAAGGCTTACCAATTTATGTACTAACGCCATAAGCTTTTCATACTTAGCATCGGAACTAGCCGTGTAATATTACTGAAATAAACTAATTTCTGCACAAATTATTAAGTAGGTTCACTTAATAAAGGAAAAATACTAAATCGACTAAGTTTGAGCTAAAGAATAAACAAACTGGACAAAATGTTTAATAACAAATTAAAACAATCTTTATTTATTCACAAAGACAAAAATAAAGTGTGTGTGTGTACTTCCAGTGAATACTAGATGGATGAATTGATTAACTGACTTCCTTTCCTCTTTCTATCAATAAAATCATTTGAGGTCCCGTGTAGTACTGTTTAAATCTAATATTTTTTAATTAACGGGAAATGTAGAATATACCGACAGTGATTAGCGTTACCCATGTGACTGGTCACCCTCATTTAATATAAGGTAGGCCATAACCTCGAGATATCATCTGAACTATCAACAAATGACACTACCATAGTCTATATTCTTTGCGCAACATCCAGTATTACAGCAAACACAAAAATAACAGCAAAATAAGTGTTATCTCCAGAGGATAACAAAGCAACAAAATCTGAATAATCAATTGCATGTAATTACAAAACAACACCAACACCTCGTCCCTCCTCGGACAGATAACTGCCCAAACTAATGCTGCCTGCTTTCTGGACAGGAAATAGCTCGTACATAACGTGGCTTCTATATCCATGTTACATGGTGCTGATTCACTACACTTCATTTGTAACAAACCATGGAACACAATTTGTATATACAGGGGTGTTGTTATTTCCTCCACTGCATACACATATGTAGTCCACTGTTCCTGGAATTGATCCTGCTAACATCAGATAACTTTCACATGGAACATTTCATCAGTTGCACAGGCAAAACTGATAATTTTCACAGTATGTCCATCCTGAGGATATCAATGCCAAATCCGTGGTCATAGATAACTATATTTCTTCTACAAATGTCATTTCCTACACACAGTAAAAGCTCTACCTCTCCACTTATGTCATATCTATCACCATTTGCCAGAACGAAGGTGGTATTCACTGACTGTAGTAGTGGTTTCAGTTTGAAATATTAATATATTGTATGATCTACCCAAGGTCGGGCTGCTCTTTGTTAACCAGGAGCTCACTCTCTTGCCCCTATATATTCACAAAGATCTACCCAGCCATGACAAATCCCAGTTGATCAAATTAACTAGTGCAAGCTGTATACCATACTCTTCAAGCCAGTTTGGGCTCTATTAGTTTTCTGGAGTTGTAGAGATAGCATTAACCACTTGCTATTGGTTCTCCTGGACATGCTGAGCCATCACTTAAAACCATTAGTCTTGTCCATCCTGCTATTTGGCAAAATACTGGCGCTGATGGGTCTGCTGAGCAATCATTTGGAATTGCTAGTCTTGCCACCATTGCTTCTCAGCAAAGTATGGGCAGTTTCTCTTGCCAGTTACTCAACATACTAAAAAAAAGCATACACTTCACTCCTCTCGTTCTGAGGCATCATTAGCATATGCTGTAACCTATAGGAGGACTGGGATAGCCCTGTCCATTCACTAGGAACTGATGTGATTGTATCGTAGAGCCAAGATGTATGTGTGGCTGTTTAAACATTGACATAGCTCGAGCTTGGCATGGTGGAGATACCCGAGCCGGATGGTCAGTCTGGTGTGTAGCCACAGCAAGTGACACTGTGGGCCTCTTCCTCTCCAGTGATCTGCTTAAAGTTACCATTTTATACCCAGCTACAATTCTAAAACTACCTTTGGTTAAAGTGAGGATATCCCTGACACTTTGGTGATACCACATAGTTTCAACTGGAAGTCGCTCAATGGACTTATTTACCAGTATATCTTTGTGATCTGCCAATGCCATCACATGATAAGTCTTAATGTGCAAATGACATACATTATCTATGTAAATAGGCAGACTCTCATTGGTGACTCCTCTTATAAGCCTTGAACTTGGCCCAATGATATTATAATTTACCACCAGATAAAATTTCTCAAATCCTTGATGGAGTTCAGTAATGGAACGTCAAAGCTCAGGATCAGGTATTGGACTGTCTACTCCTGCTTCTATCCTTTCCAAGCAGTTACCTACTTAAAACACTTCCAAAAAAATGGCTCAGATCTTCTGTTGCTACACTTTGAACGCTGGGACAAAATCTCTTTGGATTCACGTAGCGTATAGCGTAGGCGCAAGCCTCTCTTTTGCAGTTTTTGGCTAATTCCTGATGAAAATGCTGCAGAAATTGTGGGTATGGGATGATAGACATACTTAAGGACTGACTATTGAGCAGGTAGCTGGTCTTGGTCCATGGTAGCAGAGCAATGAGTTACTCTTGGCAAGTCATTCAAAAACTTTCTGTTACTCAGGGTTTCCTTGCAACCCATGGTTACCCTGGCAGGATGCCTCTTGGTTCAGAGAAGCTCACGGCTTCCCCATGTTTTATAGTATTTTCCCACGGTTTCCTGCTATTTCACCTGAGAGTGAAGCAGCTATGACTGGCAAATTTTGATAACTAGTAATATTTCCAGTTCCTTTCAATTGATCTTCAGCAGTTTTAGACAGAGCTGTGGCTGTATTACTCTGGCAGTTATTGACAGCCTGGGAGTTCTATAAAGACAACCCTATATGGTCCCAGACTTGCTATATGCCAGTACATTTAGTAAATCTTAATCAAATGTACAAAGATCGATATTCAGGAGCAATACCTGATCTACCATTGTGGATACATAAGACATTAGCTGATTTCATTGAGTCTGAAGTTGCAGAAAAATCAACATCATGACATTTACAACATTGGCAAAAGTGCTATATCCAGGAGAGGACTTCTCTTTTGTACAACCATCTCTCTTCAGTGGCAAACTCTCCCTTTTAGTCATGAATACTTCTACTTGCACAAAATGTCATTCTTTAAGTGAGAAGCATTCCTCTAAACTTTTATAACTCAAGATTTTAAGTAAGAGCAATACACATGTTAGCAGAAATAGAAATTTCATAATAAAATCCTGTGGTCATGGCACCAAAATTTTTCAGTTTTCTACGTACTCTGTTGTATTCTCAAGTTCAACTGATTTCTGCAAACTGTATTAGATAGGTCCACTTTATAACAGGGGGAAGGGAATCAGAAGGATAAATAACGAAGCAGTACTGAATTTAACTAAACTGAAGAAGTTTAATAAAAAATTAAAACAGTCTTTATCTAGTTACAAAGACAAAAATACAGTGTGCATATTTATGTTGGACATTGAACAGTTGCCTTTCACTGGATTACTGAATCAATTAACTGATTTTTCTTCCTAAACATGTTTTTCCATCAACCAATACACACGAGATCCTGTATTGTACTTACTGTTAAAAACTCAGTTTTCAATAAACAATGATTTATTGTACATGATTCTAAACATGAGTTTGTTCACAGTCTCAAAAATACAATAAAATACCAAATAAATTACTGTTCAGGATAAATATAAAAAAATGAGACTGGAAACAGTCTCACACACCCAATGTTTTGACGTGTTTACTGCGTCATCTGCAGGAGTTCAATGTTTTGCAAGAATCACGCTTATTTATGCCCTTAATACAATTTACATATTACAGAACTTCACATCATCTACTGACAACATTTCTATCAGGTCCATCATCCTTATTCAATATTTAAATTTTACTTTGTTTTATATTTCATTATCTCAAATGATTCACGTATATTCATACCAATGAAAGTTTTAGGTTATACTAAAATAAAACTTTTTTTTCTATTGAGGTGTATGTTTAGTTTCATTAATATTTTCTGCTAATGGTGAAATAGTAATATTATTTTTTTAACAATTATTTTGTGTTCATTCATTCGGTATTTTAAATATCTTCTAGTTTGTCCTATATAAACCTTTTCACATTCACATGATATTATACATACACCAACTTTTTCTATTAAATCCATTCTACGTTTAGTTATATTAAGAATTTAATTAACATTGTTTATCGGTTTATATATATATCATAAAAACATTTGTTTGTTTACTAAATTCCTTCATTATTTGACAAGATAAACCGGGTATAAATGACAGTATCAAACATTCTTTTTTTTCTTACTTTTTAGAAAGTGGTTTTAACTTAATATTTTCATCCTTGTTTTTCGTTTTTGACAACTCTATCAACAATATAAGGATTAAAACCTCTTTCTACTGTTATGTACTTAATTAATAATAACTCATTATTAATGTCTTCCTGTTAACAATACAATTTTAGTATCCAGTCCAAATAAGAGTAAAACACAGTAGTTTTAGTGTGACAAGATCTTTGATATGGCAGAATGATTACAGAGAAAGGTTTTGACAAATAGTAGTTTCCAATTTATCCTTATTTTACTAAAACATCCAAAAATGGTAAACAGCTATTTGTCTCAACAACATTAAGCACTTACACAAGCATTAATGAATTTTAACTGTATTCTTCTGTTAAGTCTAACACTTCACTATGTTAACCATCGCTGGTCATTCTTATTTAACGTAGGGAAGCCATAACTTCAACATATCATCTAACTCAGTTCTCAACCTATTCCAATATCATTCACTCCTATAAGTTTTTCACAACACCTCATTCACTGCAGTTCGAAAAAAAGACAAACAAGTACTAAATTAAAATGAAAAAATTCTTTATTTTGACTTATAAATACATCAAACTACAAGTAGAACGAATACAACACAAAATAAATAAAACATAAATGTATTTATCAAACTACAACTAGAATAAATAATAATAACTAATGTTTCGCTCTTGAATTTGTGGTATAATTGATAATACTCATCACCCTGCCGTTCACCTCCCCCCACCAGTGGCACAGCGGTATGTCTGCGGACTTACAACGCTAGAAACCGGGTTTCGATACCCGTGGTGGGCAGAGCACAGATAGCCCTTGTGTAGCTTTGTGCATAATTAAAAACAAAAACAAACAAACAATAAAGTTTATTTCATTACCCTTTTCAAATCGTATCCAAATTATATTGTTGTGATACAGTCATTCACTGAAAGATGTAGACGAACACATGCTTTTATTCAATCAATATAAACACTAATCGACATTCATATTGAAAAATATTCGTTATTTCACTCTTCCTTCTCGTAATGGATACCCAGGGATCTCATTTCCTACACTGTATTACCAGCGACGTTCTACCAAATTCCTATTGTTCGACTTAAAGGCTGTTAATGTGTTTTTGTGTTTTGGTTGTTGTTGCAGTTCTCACGACAATAATGTACACGCTTGTTTCACTTTATGAATATGGTAACTGAGAGCTATGAATATAATAACTGAGAGCTTCGAATTGGTCTTTTGTTGAGATGCTTTTACCCAGTTCAAATTGTCT